CTTATTAAGATACAAGGACTCCTTGTAGAGTCCTCACCAGAGGCACTAAATCAATACAATCCTCAGGTGCTCACCCCCTCCCTCCCCCCACCATCTCCTCCCTTTACTCCAGCTTTCTCCCCTCCCACTTTCCTTCCCTCCCATCCTCTCCACTCTCCTCCTTCACTCCTTCCTCCCCTCCTCTTCTTTCCTGCCCTCCCCTTCCCCTCTTTCCTCTAATATATTACCTGATCACTAATTAACTAGAGCCGTTTTTTCCAGAGCCGCTATCAGTGTAGTATCAGGGCTGACCTCGCCCCCTCTCTTGCCTCTCTAATACCTCACTTCCCTGTTATCCTCTATTGTTCCCCTCCCTCCCTCACCAACCGGTTCTTCCTGCGGAACTGATTGTAGCAGTTCTTAGTGTCTTCTCCCAGACATTGTTCTCTGGAGGTTCTGAGTAGATACGCACACAACATAACCGGAACTTTGAGAGCAGATGGAGACAAATAGTGGGTGTGGTAACCTACAACAACACCCAGCCAGGAATATGATGACACTAATAGTACACGGCGCTGGAACCAATCGTATTGGCGTATGCCTTTCCATTGGAGACTTTCAGCGCCGTGGAGAGGGGACCCCTGCTGCCTGGGTAACAGCTTCTCCTCCATATCAACCTACCCTGACTTTGCGCCCTGGTGAGGCTACTCCAGACCGACAACCAGAGCTCAACTCCATAGTCTCCTGAGACTGATGGATGCCTACTACTAATAGTACATGTATGGTCCAACTGCAAAGAGCAGCAACAGCTGAATGAGAGCTCAATCACGGAGATCTAATGATGATCTAAATCACGGAGAGATAAATTTGGACTCAAGAAACTCTATGGTTGAAAAAATATAGGGAACAAAATTAGTGGAAGTCGTGAAGAGGTACTTCATAACAACACGTGAAAGACAACATAAGTAAAATGAAGGAGATGCACCAAGTCTCCTAGATCTAATCTTCACCCTAATTGAAGACAATTTCGAAGACTTAAAATATAATATAGCAGTAGGAGCCATTGTGTCCTGGTGTAATTCGATCATATAGTCGAATGCCTATGTGGTCGAATTAACAGCAATGGCCATAAGTCAAAGGGTCTGTTTAAATCCTTAAACATACACTCACTCCACACATTCTCTTGTTCTATTTACCTTTACAAAACCCTATTCCTGGGATTGTTATTCTGTTCTAAAACTCTTCTTTGATAGATGTAATAGAAGACATGAGCACCTCACTAGTAATAAATATCTCTCCGATATATCTAGAGTCAGACTAAACCTGTAATAACGCTCCATGCAAATAAAAATACCCAGTATATGGAATTCACGTCCCTAATGAATACAAAAGAAATCCAACCTATACTTTTAAATAAAGTAGAAGGAAAACGTGCTTAGTTTGGCCTTGATTAGTATATCACTTTGTGTTACCAACACAGTAACTTGTGTTACCAACACAGTAACTTGTGTTACCAACACAGTAACTTGTGTTACCAACACAGTAACTTGTGTTACCAACACAGTAACTTGTGTTACCAACACAGTAACTTGTGTTACCAACACAGTAACTTGTGTCACCAACACAGTAACTTGTGTCACCAACACAGTAACTTGTGTCACCAACACAGTAACTTGTGTCACCAACACAGTAACTTGTGTCACCAACACAGTAACTTGTGTCACCAACACAGTAACTTGTGTCACCCATCTTTACTACTAAAGACATGCAATTTCATCAGTATAATTTATTCTATCAGTTTATAATGTGGTTATATTTTGAATTGAAATTCTGTTACAATGTTTCTATTATTACATTTATTGGTTATCTTAAAGACCTTTCCAAAACGCTATGCGGCTTTGCAAGACTGAACACTATCACCAATGTCTGTACCTTCACATCCCCATGTACAGTCTTGTATATCAATAAATAAATAAATGTAAACAAAGACAGAATGATTGTTGCAAGATGTACAGGTTTTGTAAGTGGTTGTGTAAATGCTTCATGAATACTTCATGAATGCTGGCCCAGGTCTTCATTGAGGCTTTAATGTTTATTTTCTAAGCAAGCACAGAGCAGGAAGGCTTCCTCAGGGCACTGGTGCATGGGATCCACCTGGATTAACTATTAAGATTAAAGAATGACATCTTTGTTTAACACCTTTTGAGTAAGCACGCTGCAATATTGCCATCACTGCAGTCAATAATTGGTGAAGACAGGAGGCCAATCGGGTCCTCAGGAATACAATAATGGCCAAGCACAGTAATGCATGTATAACTAGAGCACAACTAAGTAAAACACTCCACGTTCTTTACTCTCACAGGATATTGCTAGATGTGTGCACGTCAAGCACTGTCACACCTTCACTAAGGTGTGACACACGGGAAACTTCTCACTGACGCTCGGACACCAGGTGAAGTGATCAACTTCTTCCCAATCTCCCTATCAAGTGACACCTGTTCAGGCGTTATCTGGTGAACAGACCGGCTAATTAATTATTGGCACCTCATGGGAGATTAAACAACTCCGAGCTTCTAGCCCAGACAATTAATAATGAATCCAGTACTCACTCTTTTGCTGCTCACACAAACAAGGTCCACACAGAACATTCAAATTCTTTCTGTCCATGATACAAGCGGATGGTGTCGTGGGTGTAAGATATGTTCCCGGGTGGTATAGCCTGTGTGTGTGCAGCAGAAGACGTCGTAAGGGATGCCACCACAGAAGACGTCTGGTAGCTGGAGCAGGTACTTCTCATGCGTCACACGACCGCCACCGCTGATGCAGGGGAGGGAAGAACAGCGTTAATTTGATAACGCTCGTGCACGCCTCGAACTCAAACACTCGTGGGTAACACGGCAATGACGTAGAATTTACAGCACACTCTTCAGTGTGTTGACTGTCCTCAACGCAGTTAACACTCACCTGTCTTGACACTCGGGTGAGAACACGCTTTGACACTTGCACTTCACTCAGTCAATTATCGCAGGGAAGCTGTAAGACTAAGGTATCTTACACCAGCTCCGCTACCGCTTCTTTTCCCAATAGTAAAGAATAGTTTGAAAGGAATTTGGTCTGCTTTCACTATTTGTAATACTGGTAGGCTTAAATATGTTGGACTAATAGCGCAATATTTTATGACAACTAGGTATATTTATATATATAAAGTATTACTACACGTATTTACAAAGTGTCGCTTTCACTCGGGACACAATACATCGGCAGTGTTCATCAAATCCGGATGAATCCATTTTCCAGGTTCACGTTGTCCACCTAATGACAAACATTGGCGAGTTCACCTTCTACATGGGCCAATCCACGCACATCATATCATCACGATGTGGCAATACCCCACCTCCGCTCTCCAGATACACACTGGCAGAGGGTTTCAGCACCACGCTGACAGGGGTCTCAAATAGTCACATACAGGGGTAGCCAACACTCTGACAGAAGTCTCTAGTCGTTCACTAGCACCACTTCTCAAGAGACGCACCAATGTTGTCTTGTAACTCTTACTGGCCAATCCCGGGTACGTCGACCCATCCAACACTGCTATAACCGACGGCGCCCACTTTATCCTCTCACAGGACCAAGTCAAAAGTTCTTGGACTGCCCAAGGTGAACTGCCCTCCTCAGCCTCCTTACGTTACCTCTGTGAACATAAAACGTCATTAGCTAGACAGACAGTAAACTGTGTGACCGTAGAATAACACCCATCCACTGAGAAACTGAAATTATAATTGTAGTCGCAACCTAGATGGTGTTGATCTGGATACGCCACCTACCAGAGGTCATCTTCATAGACCTCACCTTCTAACTGAGGCAAGAAACTGGAGTCTTTCACCAATGCCACGCTACCACCAACAGATGGCATTGTCCGAGTTGCACCAAATACCGGGGAGATGGAGTGCAGACCCATAGATGGCGCTGAAATCGCCACTCCCCACTCCAGCGATGGTGTCCATACTGTAACAATATATATACACGGATGAAGGTTTCTTTCGCGTATCTTAATTTCATAATAAACAGGAACACGTTGACAATATGAACACCTTGTTTAATTTAAATATTTACTTTTCAATAAAAATCCATAAAGTTTCGAATAGTTATTAGCATTCATCATCAACTATAAGGTACATAAATATTGAATTAAGATTAACAGTTAAAAAAAACTCATTCTGAAAACATAATTACATGCTTAAGAGACGAAAATGACAGTTATGGAAAAAGAAAACACGGAAAATAAAATACCAAAGTTAACTTACGTTATGAGATTCAATAAAGTAAGATTTCATACTTATCATTGACAATTAGGACTAAATAAAAATCTCAATTAAGATCCTGAATATTTATATTCAGTGCAAGACCAAATTAAATCAATCATTATCGAATTACCCATGTCACACACAGTAAAGAAACACAATTATTATAAAATAATATACATCAAATTGTTATATTCAGTATCACAATTAAACAAATAATTATAAGGCCTATCCTACTTCAAAAAAGAGCACCAAAAACACGAATCAAGGGAAACTAAACAATTCATGAATATAATAACGCGCAAATAAAAACATGCGCAGAACAAACACTTGATGAACTTTTTACATAGTAAACATGGCGTCTTTATGTATGAGGGAGCAGCGGCCTCTGTTAAACAATAATGCGTCACCTGTCCAATTGTATGTTATGTAAAATGAAATAGTTTTATGAAGGTAAAATTTGATGTTTTAAAAGTCCTTGAAGACAACTAGTGCGTGACTGGCTGTCGTAACTGTTACTTCAGGATATTCACATGCGAATAGTTGCATTGTATCGTTGCAACCAGTAAGATCTCTAGGTTTATGTGGTTGTGTGCAGTTTGCATATATATACTTTGTGTATTGGAAGGTTGTCTTGTAGGTGTTAGGAAAAACTATTCAAATTCAAGAAGTTTGTTGACGGTTTTCGTTACTAATGGGGTTAATTTTCTACCTTTACAGATTGGTTGTGTTTGCCGCAGATGAGGGTTGAGTGCGATGGGTGTGAGAGTGTGATGGTGGGTTGTGGGTGTGGTGGTGGTGGTGGTGGTAGCCTAGCACCAGCACCCACCCAGGCTGCTGCCCTGCCCCCTCGCCCCTCACCACCCACCTGCTGCCATGGTGCAGGCCAGTGAGGAGGTGATGTGCGACTCCCGGCCCTCCACCAGCGGCTCCGGTCCCTATGTCCACAACAAGCTCCCGCTCAGCAACAGGTGGCCAGGGGGGGCGAGGCCCAAGATCTTCAACCACAGGTCCTTCAGCTCCGGCTCGCGGCCATCGGTCCTCTCGCGGGCTTCTGGCTCCCTGCGCTCCGTCTCGCGCCCCGGCTCGCGGACCGGCTCGGGTCTGGGCTCGCGGGGGTCGCTGCTCTCCGGGTCGGTGGGCACGGCGGAGGAGGTGGGCTCTGGCGTCTCCAGACTACGGCGGGAACTACCATCCATCTCCGACATCTGCGGCTACGACGAGGTCCAGGAACTACTCCGCGACATTGAGCAGCTGGAGTGCCGTCGCTGGACCTCGGACTGGGACTCCTTCACCATCCAGTCCTCGCACCCGGACCTCGACCTCGAACTCCTCTCCCACGACTTCGACACCCTCTCCCGCTGCGACTCCCGGTTGTCGTGGGACTCCCACGCGGGGCGGCAGCCGGAGGAGGAGGACGACGAGGAGGACGGTAGCCCCGGGACGTGCTCGCCGGAGCCCCCGAGACACCGGCGACCCACGCCCACCATCACACTAGCCTGGGATGACTCCCACCTCAAGACCTCAGTTGGAATTTTTAGACTATTATTAGTAGTAAGTTTATTGGTCCTTCTTCCTCTCTTGTGGCGAGTCTGGTGGCTTACTACCGCCACAAGTCCGGCGGGACTTGTGGCAGTAGTAAGTCCGGCGGGACTTGTGGCGGTAGTAAGTCCAGTGGGACTTGTGGCGGTAGGAAGTCCAGTGGGACTTGTGGAGGTGTTAAGTCCGATGGGACTTGTGGCTGTATTAAGTCCAGTGGGACTTGTGGCTGTAGTAAGTCCAGTGGGACTTGTGGCGGTAGTAAGTCCAGTGGGACTTGTGGCGGTAGTCCAGTAGTATTAAGACAAGTGGGAGTAGAAAGTGTGGAAAGTTTATGTACCGTCCTGCGGGGGTCGCCGCTGGCCTTGGTCAAATAACTTGACAAATCAGCATAAAACGGATCATATGTCTGATGAATCTCACCAAGAGTATATCCCCAAACTTTTTTATTCAATTATATATAAATAAAGCTATAATGTAACTTGTGACAATGCGTAAACATGCTGATGATTACACACTCTTGGATGTTCTAAGGAGGACCACTACCTGATTATGGGCCACCATCTCTAGTGGCCTCGACGAGGAGAGGAAGCCCTGAGGGCGATCATCTACAGGTGATGAGTCACATAACGTGGCTGAAGATTGTTGACCAGACCACACACTAGAAGGTGAAGGGACGACGACGTTTCGGTCCCTCCTGGACCATTCTCAAGTCGATTGAGAACGGTCCAGGCTTGAGAATGGTCAAGGACGGACCGAAACGTCGTCGTCCCTTCACCTTCTAGTGGGCGATCATCTACTTGACCCACCTTGTAGGCCGGGGAGAGGGGAGGGGTCATCTACATGGCTCTGACATCCACACGTGAACTTCTTGACCCACCTTGTAGAGCCTTCTGACCCACCTTGTAGAGCCTTCTGACCCACCTTGTAGAGCCTTCTGACCCACCTAGTTACTGCAGTACGGGAGGAGGGTCACGGGTTTCCATCGTCGGGTGATAATAATTAACTTACTCAATACCACAACATTCAACTGTACATAGTCAAAATCCTATGTCCTTCTCTTTTTGCCTTGATACTGGCCCATGATTTCCCAGGCATTTAAGTGTCCACTTACGAAACCTGTACATTTTTCCTCAATCATGACGGCTGTTTGTATTTATTAAATAGGTTACGAACGCCAAAAATATACGAGTTGGTTCTCAACCCAAGGTTCTTATAGACAACCTCGCAGTTCTTTGAACCACAAACTGTTTAACAAATGTAAATAAATTCGCCAAGAATGACGAAAGATGTACAGGTTTCGTAAGAGTTGCGTAAATGACAGACGAATCCTGGTCCTGGATCAGTTTTATGAAACTACAGTGAATATTTTTTAAATTTCCTTACCAGATGGAGCAGAACAGAGGAGGGATTATTGAAGGTAGGGATTAATACAACAGGATTTATAACAATCATATATTCAAGTGCTATAATCCCCACCAGGAAGGGAATATCACAGCATATATGGCACCTATACTTATAATGCCCACCAGGAAGGGTACATCACAGCATATATGGCACCTATACTTATAATGCCCACCAGGAAGGGTACATCACAGCATATATGGCACCTATACTTATAATGCCCACCAGGAAGGGTACATCACAGCATATATGGCACCTATACTTATAATCCCCACCAGGAAGGGTACATCACAACATATATGGCACCTATACTTATAATGCCCACCAGTAAGGGTACATCACAGCATATATGGCACCTATACTTATAATGCCCACCAGGAAGGGTACATCACAGCATATATGGCACCTATACTTATAATCCCCACCAGGAAGGGTATATCACAGCATATATGGCACCTATACTTATAATCCCCACCAGGAAGGGTACATCACAGCATATATGGCAACAATACTTATAATGCCCACCAGGAAGGGTACATCACAACATATATGGCACCTATACTAATATAATCGTCACCCCGAGGAAGGCATACCAATGACCCCAGAAGAACGGAATGTACACTATTAACCCCAGAAGGACGAATTGATGCATCACGAAAGATACATCAGTGTCTTCAGTAGAACGAAGATCACATCACTGACCCCAGAAAGACGAAAGATACATCAATGACCCCATCAGGACGAAAAGCACATCAGTGATCGCATCAGGAAGGAAGTAAAATGACCCTATATCGGGATGAAAGGTATACTAATGACCCCAGCAGGAGGACAGGTACACTAATGACCCCAGCAGGAGGACAGGTACACCAATGACCCCCAGTAGAACGACAGGTACACCAATGACCCCAGCAGGAGGAGATACATTGAGACAAGGTAATACTGGAGAGGACGGGTTGAGATGAGTGATCGCTGCGTCTATTATTGTTTAACAAAGTAGATGATTCATAATATTATATACATATTTACATTGTGTAGTATCCCCCGACATTACCTGCCCTGTCCCCCGACACAGGGGAAACATGTACAGGTTGTGTAAATGGTTGGTGACTGGTGGCCCAGGTGGACCACGCTGGACAACATCAACACAGTTTGTTACGTCCGGAAAGCAAGGGATGTAACCGGAAGTGTCACGAGCGTGCATGCTGGGGTTGTTGATTACACCCGCCTTCCCTCTTGCTCGCTCCCACTACACCACTTCACCTGGGAGCTAACATGCTCCCACGTAAAGTGCACACACACATGCTACGCTCGGGAGTCCAAGTCCAAGGGGTTCGGGTTCGATTCCCGGCCGAGGAAATAAGAAATAGGTAAAGTTTAGTTACCTTGCAGTTAGACAGCTGTTACGGGCTACATCGTGTGTGTGTGTGTGTGTGTGTGTGTATACAAAAAAGTGGATGGAATCCTATTTCAAAGACGAGAAAAGGAAGATGAAAAGAGAAAGAGAAGTAGAAAGATTGAAAAGTAGAGTAAAAGAACGTGAAGAACCAGTGGCTAGGGCAAAGGGCTTCCCGACTTGGTGCCTTCTTTGATAATTACTTACTTTAGGGCGAAGGGCGCCAGGATGGGGGGCAGAAGGAGGGTAAACAAACTTCTCCTACACAGGATCTGAGAAAAAAATTCCTGTTGATTTGTTTATATTTTCTAAGATATCCTGACATGATTATATCTTTGGAGTATAACCCATCCATGAATTTGGCAGTAATGTTTCACGTCAATAAAAGACCAATGACCTGACCTGCTTGTGTTACAGGTTGTGTCGGTGATAACGATGACCTGCGCCTGTACGGTGGGAACCGCTCGTCTCAGCATATTCGTGTTACCGGGAGCTTGGAGACTACGAGTGGTGGTATTCACTGCGGTCTTCACCATCCTCACTACCACCATACTTCTCCTCCTCCATCTCTCCTCCCTCGTGCACTCCCTCACACTACGCTGGGATAAGTTGGTTAGTTTAGTCCTCCAGTTACAATGATTCATAGTCTCAAGTTCATACTCTGGTTACAATGATTCTTAGTCTCAAGTTCATTGATTACAATGATCCATAGCCTCATGGCCCACTCAGTCTGTCATCACCAATAGGAATGTTAATATATTTTGTCAATTATTATTTGTGCCAATTCAGTAATAGGAAATCCTATTTATTGCATTGATTGATATTCAGTAACCACAGAAGGTGGAGGAGGAGGAGGCAGGTATTACTGCCTGTGTGTTAGCAGTCAATACAGTACCATACACAGATAAGTGACACATGTCTTGTGTTGCAGGTGACGGTGATTTATGTGTTCGTGTGTGTGTGTTACTTGGTGTCCGCTTCACTGCTGCTGCACCTCCTGCACCTCTACCACACCACATATCCCTGGATACCTGCCTGGACTAAACAGCAGCTCCTGACCACGTCGGTACGTATAGTGCTTGGCCTCATGCTCCTAGCTGAGCCTGATGCTAATCTCACCTCACCTCACCTTACCAATGCCCTAAACTTAGCTTATTTTCAAGTTATGGCGGTTTCATGTTTTATGCCCCAGGCTTTAACATGGTAGCCCGTCCTCAGGTTGGTTATAACTTTAAAGAAGTGATTGTATTTTGGTACTGTTATTGTAACCTAATTTAACCCAGCCTAACCTACCTAACTTAACCAAACAAAACTAATTAAAACTTAAACAAACAAAACTAATTAAACATAACCGAACCAAACCCAACCTTAGTTTGTTGACCAAGATCCGTAAGTATATTTAAAACTAATTAAGTTTAATACGTTTTGTAATTAGGGTAATGCAAAAATAGACTTGGACGTGGTGATTATGAGGTAATCACATACCTCCTGAGAATGGGTTACACTGTGTCCTACCTCGAATACCTAGCCTAACCTAAACTAATCGTACCACTTCAGTATGTGTGTGTTATATTGTTCAACTCCCATTCCGAGCCTAACCAAACCTATTGCTAACCTAATCTAGCCTATCCAAATGCTAACTTAGCCCATCTTAATGCTAACCTAACCTAACCTAACCTAATACAGTCCTAACATAACCCATCCTATCATAACTAACCTAACTTAACAGTTATGTTATTTTGTCCAAACCTAAACAAATTTAATGCTAACCAACCTTCTCCTTAACTAACCTAACATATTCTATGTTAAGTGAGACCTAACCTTGTAGTGATGTCATCTACCAGTCAGACTTGTAGTGACGTCATCCACCAGAGTGAGACTTACAGTGATGCCATGTATTAGAGTCAGACTTACGGTGCCATGCAGCAAACATTCTCTGTGTATCGCTGCAGATAGGCAGCATATCATACCTGGTTTAACATAGTATAACGTAATATAACGTACTAGCCTTAACATATTTGGCTTAACATACTTGGTTTAACATGCTTAGTTTAACATGCTTGGTTTAACATAATATAACATATGGTTTAACATAGTATAACATACATGGTTTAGCATAGTAAAACATACTTGGGTTAACATACGTGTTTAACATAATTGGTTAAACATAATTGGTTAAACATACTGGGTTTAACTTATTTGGTTAAACATACTAGGTTTGGGGATTAGTTAAGAGTATAAATGATTACATTTGTTATGTATATAATTGTGTTATGCCGGCTTCATGGCATTATGGGGCTGCCATGTATGTAGGATAATGCCTTAATATTTTAGTATCAATAATTACTAATACCGCCCTTTACATGTGCTAAGAGAGGATGTAATACCTTTGTCGTGTACTTGTCAGATTGGATTCCATTGAGTTCTTTCGCCAACAGAAATGGTAAGTTATAAATACTGCTAATGTTGCTTCTCTAATGTTTTTTTTTGTCTAACTTCAAACCTTTTTTTTTGGGTAATTTTTGTGTAGGCATTAATAGTGTGTGTGGGTGGTGTTGCAGCTGTGTGGGTGTGCATGTGGGGTGGTGTCGCTGGTGCTGGCGGTAATCTCAGGGTGTGGGTGGCCCCGCTACGGCCGCGTCCTCAGTGACGGCTCCACTACGGACACCACCTCCTCCCACCACCTCCATACTCTACACCACATTAACCCCCACGCACTAGCGGGACCTGCAGCTGGTCTCCTGCCCTCCAGGAGGCTCCGGCAGGGCTCCGGCGCCTCCCTGGGCCCCGGCAGTGTGGGCCCTCATGCCACTACAGCCTTCACCCCGGACAGCTTAAATGAGCCTCAGCCTGGGCCCTCCAAAGCTTTGCCCCACAACCACACTCCTGCACGTCCTCAGGTGCTGCATGGTTTGACTCAGCAGCACGGGGTGTAGTGTCCTCCAGGCCTCGCTGCAATCATGCCCGCCACCCAACTATTTTATAGAAGCAGAAATGGGGCGCTGCTCCAACGATGAGTTTGTATATGACAATTTGGTGTGTGGTGCAGTGTGGGGGCAGTGTGGGAGCCAGTGTGGGGGCAGTGTGGGAGCCAGTGTGGGAGCCAGTGTGGGAGCCAGTGTGGGGCAGTGTGAGGCAGTGTGGGAGCCAGTGTGGGAGAGGACCAGAGGCCTGACTGCGTGCAGGCCACAACAGGCTGCCCATTCACCTTGTGATACCAGTTATCCATGCTCCTCGCGGGAGAACTTTGCTTGTTGTTTTTCCAAGTTTTTAGATAAACATTTGAGAGTGGAGATGTTATCGACAGTTTTAGATGAATCCTGATACCAGAGAGTTTAAACCTGTGTATATAGTTAGACAACTAGTTTTCTAGGGTACTGGTTTTTATTATTCTTATGCCATATTGCTTAATTTTTTACTAGTTGACTCAATTTCTTCCATTCAGATATTAGATGATTGAGTGCTGCGCTCTTGAGTCTTGGTTAGTACAGTGTGCTGTACTGCCCAGCCAAGTGGCAAGACATATCCTGTGTGTCCCCCCTCACTCCTCACCACCCTCCCATACCCCCCTCACTCCTCACCACCCTCCCATGCCCCCCCCCTCACTCCTTACCACCCTCCCTCACTCCCCTCCTTCACTTCTCACTACCCTCCCTCACTTCTCACTATCCCCTCGTTCCCCTCCCATACCCCCTCACTCCTCACTACCCTCCCTCACTTCTCACTACCCTCCAATAACCCCCCCCCTCACTCCTCACTACCCTCCAATACCCCCCCTCATTCCTCACTACCCACCCATACCTCCCTCACCTCACCAACCACATATACCTCACCACCTTGACACCTCATATCCTATTATACTACCCTCTCTCCTTACTACCCTCTCATTCTACCCTCACTCCTCAAATCCATACCATTGCACCCCTCACCACATACCATAGCAGCACCCTCACTCCTCAAGGCCATACCATAGCACCCCTCACACCTCAACACATACCATACAGCCCTCACTACCCTGCCATAGCACCCTCACACCTCATCATCATCATCATGCCTCATCTACTATACACCCTCATGCGTCATGTCTCCCTCGCCAAACAGATGTAATATTCACATCCAGAGTTGTATTTTACTGTTGAATTAATCGTTAATATTTTGTTGATTACATTGTGAATTGTGAACCCTAAGCATTATCCATGAAATACTGGAATATAAGCCTAGTTAGGCCTGGAGCGATTCGAAGGTTATTTGTTGTTAATGGAAAACGGCTGATATTGTACGTAATGATTGAAATGCATTGTTCTTGTCGCATTCCGGTACACAATGTTACAAACGTCTAATCTGGAGTGGTTTTGCCTAACCAGAAGCCTACGAACCTAAACAACCCATCTAACCCATCGTGGCCGAGTTCCAGTTTTGACTCCTCCGAACCCCCATTATTTTGACGCTGAGGACGATAGCGTTCTGCTGATGACCGTATTAAGATACATGTGAGGCTATTAGGCGCAGCTGTACAGCCACCAGCCACCTCCTACACAACACGGTTCCCAAACGCATTTTAAACCTCCCTAACTTTACCCAAATTGAATTTAACCTAACCTATCCCAACCTAATCTAATCGAACCCAAACCAATCTAACCTAACGGAACTTAACCTAACCGAAGCAAACCCAACTTAAGCTCGAATCTAACAGCTTGACCTAAGCCAGTACATCCTAACCAACATACGCGGTTTTAGCAACCAGAAAACTAGTTTTGTGGAACCGTTTTGAGTAGGTGTTGAGGCGGGCCGCACTGTTTGAGCTGGCCCCTACAGCAGAACACCGCTGCTGCCTCTCTTAAGTGCAGTCTACACTTACTCAAAGTTCACGTAGTGCAACATTGGTTCCATTATGGCAATATCAGTTCATATATTGCAACATCAGTTGGTATATTGCAATGTCAGTTCAAATATTGCAGTATCAGTTCATATATTGCGAATGGAAGTTTAGATACTGCAATGTTAGTTCATATATTACAATATGAGTTCATATATTGCAATGTAAGATCTGACATTGCAATATTATTTCTCATATTGAAATGAAAGTTTATATATTGCAATGTCAGTATAGATATTAAAAGGAAAAGTTAGGGTAATATCAGTTCTGATATTGCAATGTTAGTTCAGATAGTGCCATGTCACTTAAGATATTACAATGTCAGCTCTGGTAATATAATGTCAATTCGTATATAACCATATCAGTTCATATATTGCAATGTCAGTTCTGATATTGCAATGTCAGTTCTGATATTGCAATGTCAGTTCTGATGTTGCAATGTCAGTTAAGATAGTACAGTGTCAATTCAGATAATGCAATGTCATTTCATATTACAATGTCAGTTAAAATTATTGCGATGTCAGTTCTCATATGGCAAGGACAGTTCTAACATTGCAATATCAGTTCTGATATGGCAATGACAGTTCTAATATTGTAATATCAGTTCAAATGTTGCTGAGTCAGTCCAGATATTGCCATGTCAGTTCTGATAATGCAATGTCAATTCAGGTATTGCAACGTCTGTTTTGATATTGAAATTTCAGTTGAGATATTTCAATGTCAATTTTGATATTTCAATGTCAGTTCGGATATTTCTATGTCAAATGATAAGATTTAAAAGCCTCTAATTTTGAAGTCCATTTAAAATATTTTAAAAAGACAAAACTGTAATATGACAAACCTCCACAACAGTTGAGTACTGGATATCATGCATTAGTCACGTACTGGATATCATGCATTAGTCACGTACTGGATATCATGCATCAGTCACGTATTGGATATCATGCGTTAGTCACGTACTGGATATCATGCATCAGTCACGTATTGGATATCATGCATCAGTCACGTACTGGATATCATGCATCAGTCACGTACTGGATATCATGCATCAGTCACGTACTGGATATCATGCATCAGTCACGTACTGGATATCATGCATCAGTCCCGTACTGGATATCATGCATTAGTCACGTACTGGATATCGTGCATCAGTCACGTACTGGATATCATGCATCAGTCAAATAGATCAAAGTAAAGCAATATTGCTTTAACCAAAGAACATTAAATATATTTTCTGTTGTATATAATAATTGTATATACTTGTACTGTCTATTGGTTAACATATCAAAACCTGTTATTGATACACACATGTTTTAAATACAGATTATTTCAACTGATATTTTTGTAAATATATGGAGCCTTTAAGTAGTAAATCTTATGCGGTCATTCTTCACTGGTCAAGACCTGATTTACAGTCAAGCTGCTCATGATGAGTTAAACACGTGACCAAATGACTCCAGCTTATATTTGCTAAATTTATTGTGGTTATTATCATTCTTGCATCTCTTTCTCTCTCTCTCTCAGTATATATATATATATATATATATATATATATATATATATATATATATATATATATATATATATATATATATATATATATATATATATATATATATATATATATATATATATATATATTGAGAGTTAAATGATGCTTGAGTGCACATTGACTGGACCTGGGTGGGGGGGTTCTGGGAGTTCGTCTACTCCCCAAGTCCGGCCCGGGGCCAAGCTTGACTTGTGAGTGTGTGTGTGTGTAATTACCTACGTGTAGTTACAGGATGAGAGTTACGCTCGTGGTGTCCCGTCTTCCCAGTGCTCTTTGTCGTATAACGCTTTGAAACTACTGACGGTTTTGGCCTCCACCATCTTCTCACTTAGTTCTCACTAAGTTCTTCTTGCTTAGTTTGTTCCAACCGTCTACCACTGTTTGCAAAAGAAAATTTTATAACAAAAAATCGGCACCTGTTTTCTTAGCTTGAATCTATGTCCTCTTTTGTTCGTGAATTTGCTGGTTTCAGGAATTCCTCTTTGTCTATTCGTTAGTATTTTGTAAGAGGTGATCATATCACTTCTCTTCTATCTTCTAGTTTTGGCATGTTTAACTCCTCTAGTCTCTCCTCAAGTTCAAGTATGTTTATTGAGACAAGAAAGAAATACATCTCAAAAGGATAGAGTAGCTTAGGCTATATCTACCCCCCTCCCCGTAGTCTCTCCTCGTAACTCTTGTTTTTCAGTTCCTGAAGCCATTATGTAGCATGTCGCTGCACCTTTTCCAGTTTATTGATGTGCTTCTTGAGATTTGGCCACCATACAACTGCTGCATATACCAATTTTGGTCTCACAAGTCATGAACAGTTCCTTTAGTATTTCACCATCCATATAATTATAACCAAGTCTGAAGTTGGAAAGCGACACATACGCTCCTGTATGTGTGTGTGTGTGTGTACTCACCTATTTGTGCATGTAAGACCAAGCTCTAGCTCTTGGACCCCACTTTTCTAGCCAATAGTTGTCTAATGCAATGACTCCTGGCCTATTTCTTTATCATACCTGCTTTTAAAGTTATGAATGGAGTTAGCCTCTACAACCTGCTCCTTTAGGTCATTCCATTTACTCACTACCCGCACGCTAAAAGAAAACTTCGGGAAATTTCTGTGACATATCTGAGTCTCAAGCTTCCATCCGTGTCCCCTTGTTCTATTGTTATTCATTGTAAACATTTCCTCTGTTTCCACCTTGTCAACCCCTCTAAGTATTTTATGTCTGATCATGTCCCCTCCCCCCCTCTCCCTCCATTCAAACGTCGTCAGGGTTAGTTCCTTCAGTCTGTCTTCGTACCTCATCCCTCGCAGCTCTGGGACGAGTCTCGTTGCAAACGTCTGCACCTTTTCGAACTTCCTTATGTGTTTTTTTAAGATAGGGGCTCCACGATGGGGCGGCATACTCTAAAACTGGCCTCACATAGGCGGTATACAGTGATCTAAAAGCCTCCTTATTCAAGTTTCTGAAGGATGTTCTGACTTTTGCCAGCGTAGAGTATGCCGCTGACGTTATTCTATTTATAACGGAATTAGGTTTGAAGTTGTGTGCACTCCCAGGTCTTTTTCTCTAGACGTTATTGGGAGGTAGTTTCCCTTCATCGTATATTGACTTTTCGGCATCCTGGCTCCTGTCCCCATTTCCATCACCTTGCACTTGCAAGTTTTGAACTCAAGCAACCATTTCTCGGACCATTTCTGCAACTTGTTCAAGTCATCCTGGAGAATCTTACAATCCTCATCAGCCACAACCCTCCTCATTAGTTTTGTATCATCTGCAAACATTGATTTAAAAGACTCTTAACTCCTGCAGTCAAGTCATTTACATAAATGAGGAATAGAATGAGTCCCAGCACCGATCCTTGAGGCACCCCGCTTGTTTGTCTACGCTAGTCCGACTCCTCGCTCCTTACTGTCACTCTCTGGTACCTGTCTGTCAGGTAATTCCTTACCCATGACAGTGCTTCTCTGTCTACTCCTGCCTGTCTCTCAAGGTTACCTGCCTTGTGTGTTTGTGTATATTGAGGTGACTATTTTTTCGTTAACTAATTTTATGTTCATACTGTATCATTATTCAGTAAAACTGGGCAGGGCTTTTGCAAATTAAAAATATCTGGTTAAACAAAGTAGAGGTCCTGTAAAAAATACTTCCTTGGTC